AGTAGTGCATGTCCCATGGGACAAAGGGATGTGGGATTGAAAGTGCAGAGCAAGTTGAGTTAGAACTGGCTCAGTGCTGAAAGGAGAGAAAGTGAAATGAGAAATGCAGTAAGGACCTAAAGCACTGATGAATGGACTCACCCCACTGATCAAAGTATCATAGATGGAGACTCATTAGGGAATTCTGAGCCTACCTAATCCAACCCATTCATTGTAGAGGTGAAGAATCTGTTGTGAGAACAAATGGTGAAGTGACTTGCCCAAAGCCACACAAGTTGTTATCATTAGGGGCAGGATTGATCTCAGGTCCTCTGCCCCCAAAGCCAGGAATCCTTCCCTGTTACCACATTTTCTTTGAAGTCATGAATCCTCAGTGTATGGAAGGAAAAACACATATTTGCATGTCTGGAGTTGTTAGCAACATAGCCCTGTTCATTCTCCCCCAAATTCACAAACAAGAGCTATATAATAAAAAATAGGATCATCTGGAAGGAAACATGAAAAGAAAAGTACAAACAAATATGGTTTGGAGGTGGGATATTTTACAGATCTTCCTCCACACCCTAAATCTAGAATTGAGGATTTGCCTGGAGGTATTGGTTCAAGGGTTGCACATGAATGTCTATAATGCAGCCCCAGCATATAATGACATACAAGATACTCAACAAGGCTGTCATGTCTCTGAAATTTAAAACTCATTTTAATCAAGATGTGGGAATTTTTCTTTCCCTCAAAGGGATTCCAGAAAAACACATGAGAGTATTCAGTACAGAAGATGAACCAGCTTGCTAATTCACCAAATCAACTTTGTGTTCTTCTCAGTGAGGAAGAAAGCATAGTTGGTAATGTGGTGGGACGTTGCTGAATCCAACATAATTGGGCTTTACTCTAATTTCATTTGGATCTCCAACTGGTTTGAGAGTGAAGTTCTGTAGAATGGTGGTAAGGAACAAAAATACCTCCATCTTCGCCAGGCCCTCTCCAGCACAAGACCGTTTTCCTAGAAAGAAATGGAATTCTGCTTGGTAATCTTCATGGAATATCACAGTCAGCCAGAGTGAAACAGACTTGCTGATCCAGCACAATAATGGGAAAAGGAGTAAAAGAGAAATAAGTATATGGGCAGAAATGGTGAGAACTATTATTATTAGTTATAATTCAACCATTAATGGCCATAAGGAGAAGGAAGGAATTCCTTCTTCACACATTCTTCTCACAGTAACCCCTTGTGTAATGGATCTTGCAATGGAATTAGAGGGCAGGTGAGCCAGCCAAGAGGCTCTCATCTATTCAGGGCTCTGAGAAAAAGCCAGGTCACGGGAATACTAGAAAAGACATTGTATGTCATGTCAGAGTGGGCTATGTGTCTTCAGAAGAACTGCCAGGAGAAGCTCAGCCAGAGGAGAGTGGGAGAGAGATAGGATTCTCCTTTTAGGGTGAGAGGTAGAGATGAGAAGGGTTTCTTTTTACCAATAGAAAAAGGCATGAAGTGGTCACTTTTCTTGAATTTCCCGTTCTCATCCAGGAAGTGCTGTGGGTCAAACTGGTCAGCCTTGGAAACTCTTTCTTGTCATGCAACACTGGGGTGAGCAGTGGGAATATTGTTGTGCCCTAAAGGAAGAAATTCCAGAGGAGAGTCAGGTATCATTACGAATATCCTTTGTAGTCTTGTCCCAAGAATCTTCAGAGACTCACTATGTTCTCTAGTACAAAATGCATACTTCTTTGCATGTGCATGAGATGTCACGCCATTAAGAATCTGCTTAGGCCCCAGTCTAGCTTTCCAGAGTGATGTCCCCATTATTGTCCCCATCAAGCCTTCCTTGGGGCTCCAGCTGAACTAGTCCAGCTGCTGTTCCCCATCCACAAAGCCCCTCTGTGGTCTTCATGCCTTTATAGTGACCATGTCCCACACCTGGAAGCCACTCCTTGCTCACTTCAGCCTTTTAGATTCCCAGCTTTCTTCAAGGATTGGCCTGGGTAACCCTCTTACAGGAAACCTTGGCTGAGGTGCTAAGCTCTTTGTGCTCTCCCTACCCTCAGTTCTTTGGTCTATACATCATGTGTGCACCTGCTGCCTGTGGGACTCTGGGCAGAACATGTCAATGGCCAGTGGCCCAGGCAATGCTTAAAACTCTAGGGGCAGACCAGGCTACCTCCTGAGGGAGTTCTTCAGCAAGAAGCCACTTTGCCAATCAAATCACAGCTTGGGTCTGAAGGAAAGAAATAATACTTTAGGCTACTTTTCTGGTTCCAAACTCAGCTCCCTCCTGCACAAGCCAAAGTCTTCAATGCGTCAAAAACCCTTCTATTCTCGCCTTGTTTCAATAGCACTTGGCCTAGCAAATTTCACATGGTAAGTTCTTACTGAAGCCTTCATGATTTCAACTAAACAAGTGCCTCAGTGGGGTACATTAAATGTGAAGTTAGGTGTGATGCTCCCTTCACTTTTCCTTGAGGGAGTATAGTTTTGCTCAGCCATTGCTAGGAAACTTCAATCTAATTCATTTTAATTCATTCACTGTTTATTTAGCAACCCCGGAAAGCAGTATTTTAGAGTCTAAAGACCTAGGTTCAAGTCTCATCTCCAACACTTAAATGATCTTAGGGAAGTCATTACACCTGAAAATCAATGTCCCTATCTACACAATGGGACAGATAATAGTATTTATACATTCTGCTTCACTGCCTAGTAAGAGAAAAGGACAAAAACATTTCTCTTGAGCAACCTCACCCTGTTACGTTCCCTGTACATTTTCTTTCCAGAGCATTACTGTGGTGAATGAGAAGCAGGAAGAACAGAGATAAGGGCACACTTTTCTCTTATTCTTCATTTAGCACCACATGCAAGTAGCTGTATGTAATAAAGCACTGCCTCAAGGAGAACTTTAAGTGAGATCATGACAATGGGACTCCATTTTCTCATGTCCATGATGAGATCATTGGAATAAATGTGTTTAAGATCCCATTCTCCCAAGACTACTGACTTTGGGGAGGATATATTGTTGGAAATGGATGTCCGGTTCACTGCATGGGGTACGTTGAGAGGTATGAGGTCAATGAATCTTTGCACTTCATGCACCACAGCATCCATATAGGGCATATCTTGTCTGTCCTTTATGGAAGGAAGTCGATTATGTCCAATCACACGTCCAATTTCCTCATGAATTTTTGCTGCAGAGACAAAAAATACAAATCACCACTCAATGTTCCACTCTCCTGGGAATGCTCAACTGAGCCTGTGTGGAATATCTGCCCATTGTTATGACCTAAGATGATTCTCACATGGGCTCAGTGTCCTCCTCCTACTCAGTCAAGGATACAAAGGCTTCTGTAACAGCAATAGGATAAACTTCCATGATTTACTGGATGGGAGTCAGAAAGAATTGTGTTTACATTTCTCTTTAGACACTACCTGTGTAAATTCAGGCAAGTCATTAAATCTATGTAAGCCTCATTTTGTTTATCTGAAAAACGAGGATCATAAATTATCTGTCTTCTAAGGTCCTTACTCCTCTAACCCTATATTGTGATTTATAAAATGGAGATTAAAAAGCACCTCCATTAGCAGACATCAAATGAAATTACATGTCAAGTTATTTGTAACCCTCACATTCTTTATGATTATTATGCCAGCTTTTGTTTTCAAAGCAAGTAGATGCCTTCATTTGAATTTGATAGTGCTGGTGATGGCATTATCATCTTGATTTAAACCATTCACCAGCTGTGTATCTCAGCTCCTGTCTCAATACCCTGAGCTGCTGAGGCATAGAATCTCAGCATTACAGGTGACATGTTTTCACCTAGGGCCATCCATAGCTGAACAGGAATCCTGACTCTAATGGACTGAACAAAGGGTCAACCAGCCTTTGCTTGAGAATCTCTAGTAAGCAAGAACTCACTATTTCCTGCACAGCTGAATGGACTTTGGAGAATTTTAATAGTTGGTAAGTCTTTCCTTACATGAAGTCTCCATTTGTCAATTTGTAAGGTCTACCTATGGTTCCTACTTCTGCCTCCTTAGATCCAGCAGTATGCCTGGCAGAAGGCAAGCCATTTGAGGAAAGGGGTGTTTCATTTGAGTCTTTATATGCTAAGCATAGAACTGAGGGTGCACAGTGGGAGCTTTATATGTGCTTTAAAGTGAATTGAATTCCCCATAATACACCGCCACATGCTTAAATAACAAACAGGTCTTGTTTAGGGTCCTGTTTTCTTCAATATGCTACTGTCTGACCTGTTGCTGATCTGTGAGGAAGTCATGCAAATCCAATAGGGGGAAAGCAGAGGCCAGCTCCTGAGCAAGCTGCAGGGATGGGAAAGCAAGCCTGGTCTGAAAGCATGGCAATTCCTGTACTTTACCTTGGACCTCAGGATGTTTCAGAATGAGCAGCAGGCCATATCTTACGGTGCTGTGCGTTGTCACTGTTCCTGCACTAAATAAATCTCTTCCTATCATTTTTAGATTTTCCAAGTCAAATTCAGACTGGGGATTATCTTTCTCCTAAAGGAGAGATACAAAATAGATTAAGTAATGAGAGACAGCAGGGAAAGCCATTAGTAACCATGTGAAGTTCTTAAAGTTTGTCTTAGGAGCCCTCCCCCACCTTCATTTCCCCACTCTTAAACAGAATAACCTTCCTAATGCTCTTAGGTTTCCCCTGTTCATCCACAGGCTTACCTTTCCTAGGCAACCTTCTTCCATCCAGAAACATGACATAGTGAATAGAGCACTAGGCCTTGAATCAGGAAGATCTGAATTAAACTTTATTCTCAGCTAAGGGTCTGTGTCCATGGGAAAGTCATTTAATTTTTCTGGGCCTCAGTTTCCTCATATGTTAACAGGAGAGAGCTGGATCCTTTCAGCTCCTATTCAGCTCTCTATGGAATATGAATGCAATTGAAAGCACACTTCTTGAACAGCTTTGTTTATTATTCTTGGTTTTTTTTTCCTTTTTCTTTCACAATGCAATATGAAAATGTGTTTTTCATGACTGCATATGTATAACCTCTATTGCATTACTTGCTTTCCCAATGAGGAGAGGGAAGGAGGGAGAGAATTTAGAATTCAAAATTTTAAGAAATTAATGTTAAAATTATTTTCATAAGTAATTGGAAACAATAAAATGTTAAATTAAAAAATTAAGTAGATATAAGTGGATAGAAGGAAATTAAGAAGAAAGCACAAACAGCAGAATACCTTTGAAAATACCATATGGAAATTATGATAGATATTTTACACTGAGAGGTAAAAAATGACAATTCATACTTCCGTATAACATCCTCATTTGTGTTCATCTGTGAGTATGCACTTTTTTTTGTTGTTTAAATTTAGAATAATTTTTTAAGGCACAAAAAAGTAGTAATAGAGCTGTAACTCAAATAGTCTTGGCTTTCATAGTGCTGACATTTGCCTCAATTCAATTCTTTTCAATTTAGTCAAATATATTTCTAGAAACTAGGGAGCTACCTTGATGCAATCCAGGACTTTGGGACACATTGTATATCAAGCCATCTGAAACTGGTTAGTTCTTTTAGCCTCGACATGAATAAAAGCTATGTTCCATTTTTTTGTTATGAGGGAATTGCCATAAGATATGCAATGATGAAGAGCTGAGAAAATCTCTGTGACTGGAGGACTTACCGCCAGGCTACCCAAAGTTGCTAGCTCTTTACTTCTCTTTTTATATTTCTAATCCCACATTTTATTCTTATGTGGCATATTGGATAAACTGTTGTCCCTGAAATCAGGAAGAATAATATTTATTGTATGATCTTGGAAAATTCAATTTTCCTCTTAGTGCTCTCAAAAACCTCTCTAGGACAGCATGTTGTATAAAAAGTACCAATCTGTATCAGTATAGAAAACCTCTCAATACAGAAACTTAAGGTAGAGTTGGAAGCTGTGGGTTCAAATCCTGCTATGCCACTTCCTGGTTAGCATACTTGGATCCAAAGTCCACGTGTCTCCATTTGTATAAAGAGGTTAACAATGCTTACACTGCTTGCTTCAGAAATGATATGAGTTGAAGGAAATAATATCTATAAAATGCTTGATGAATCTTACAGTGCTAAAGAGAGCCATAGGATCATAGTTAGAGTTGGATGGAAAGTTGGAAGATATTGAGTCCAATGGCTTCATTTGACATATGAGGAACTGAAGCCTTAGTTAAGACAAGTGGCTTGACCAAGGTGACATAGAGAGTCATCAGCAGAGCTTGGATTTGATCCTCTGTCCCCAAATCCAGACCCTTTGCCAGTATCCCAAACAACCTCATGGTTTGCACTACTGAGCTCACATGATACTTTGTGGTGGTCAAAGGAGATGATGCACAAAAATTGCATTACCCATTGTAAAGCACTATAATTATACTTGTGTATAACTTTAAAAGCTATGTACAGATCTAATAATGACATAGCTTTTCTGCTTATTGCCTCTAAATTGAACCTCAGAATAGAGCAAATAGGAATGAAGTAGAATTCCATCTTGTCTAGAATGCTCTGCAGGGTTTGAGGGTTTGATGGACCCAGTGCCATTTTATCCCCAAATGGGAGCACTTGGAAGACCTCACCACTCAGATAGAATCTTTCTGGCTCCCCAGCATGATAGTACCCAAAAGCGTTCATGAGCTTGTGTCTCCATGCATGAGGTCTCCCCTGATCATAATGATCAGATGTTTGATTCAAAGTGTGCTCCCATCTTTATATGCAACTAGGAAAAATGAAATAATGAAAAGTGAGCCCCTTCTGAATGTAGGTCACTCTTTCTTGTCCTTGCACCATGTGTCTTCCATCTGTGTGGAACCAATCAGCAGGAATTAAATAATAGCAGTGCTGGTTTAGATACATAGATAAGTTTCAAAGAAATTTAATCCTGCTCAGAAGTTTGCGTCAGGTTCAAAAGAGTCTATGGGTGGTCACCAGGGTCCATGTCTCCTATAAACACTGAAAAAAGTTTATCTCTGTTTGGGTGAAACCATAGTTCAGGCAGGATCCCAGTTTTGGCTGCCATTCACTGGGTGCATGACCTTGTGTAAATCTTAGGCTGTCCCTGCTGAAATTTCCTCATGTCTAAACTAGGGGCAGGGTAGGGGGAACTAGGGTATCACAGGATCACAAGAGATGACTGAGAGCTAGGTTTTCTGGTCTAACATTCTTAGTATTTAGGTGGAGGAAACTGAGGTCTAAGTATGGGAAGGGACCTGACCAAGGTCAGAGTGGTAGCAAATAGTAGAGCCAAGATGGCCTTCTCTGCCATTGGTATACACTTCAATGGGTCTGTGATTGTATCAGTGGGAGGACTCCTTTTGACAATGCAAATGGCAATCCAGCCACAGCTTTCCAGGCTGGACAGCTTTTGGGGGAATGCTTGTAAAAATTCTCCATAGAGGCAGGATGTAGATGTGTGCTGATAAATGCTTAAAAGTCAGCTCTCTCTCAAAATAAAATGTATATTTGACACACTTTTAAGTTTAGTCTGCACTATTACTATTTTCTCCATCACATTCTTAAATACAGAAATAAAAGAATAGATCCAGCTCTTACTTGTGGTATTTGTCAGATGTCCAAGATGAAAATGTTCACACTTAGAATTTAACAACCAGCTCTCCTGAGATGGATTGAGATGGCTGTATCACACTGTTGGACAAGAATCATTTTATTTTCTTTGTAAAGCTCTTAGAATCTCTTTTGCCCCAACAAAGCAAGAGGATTTGGTAGAATAGCACCTTTGGACAAATTTTCCAAGGTGATATAATTCCGTTGGATGGAAGAGGGGGACCAATGCTCTGGGAAGGCTCAGTGTGGCAAGGGAATGGTAACTGCTTGACACTCTACTTCAGGGTTTTTGTAAGGACCTGCAGTCCTTTTTGAAGTGATGTCTGTGTGCTGATCAGAAGCAGTTGTCAAGGGGTCTGGAATCAGGGTTCATTGGCATTCCCAAGGCTCTGTGGTAACAATCCTGGGCTGTCTCCATCTTTTTTTTCCCCATGGAAACTTGGTATTGTTTTGACAGGTACATTTGTTTTCCTCCTTATCTTAAGATGACTTCCTGCATTAGCTATTTTGGGCACCTGACTCACTAGCTGATTATAGTAATCAGAGCAAGAGGGGATGAGTGTCTTAACTAGGTCCATGAATGTGTGTGGTACAAATCGCTGTTGTACGTCCTTCATGCTTGAAGACTACCAGTGCCATCATGAGAGGGATGTCTTGACTTATGTGTGAATTGGATTTAAGTGAGGCAGAGTTGTGCAAAGTCATCAGCCTTGTCTCCTTTTAATATTTACCAATTGGGGAGGAACTAATTATTCTCTATGAATTCATGAAACTTTGCCCAGATGAACTACATTCTTGGGACTTGGAAGAAGAAATAAAGGGGAAGGGAAGGAAATAAACATTTCTATAGTGCCTACTCTATACCAGACAGTGTACTAAGCGGTTGTTACAAATAATATTTCATTTGGTTTTCTGCAAGGGGAACTGCTGGTGCAATAATGAACTAGTACAACCATTCTTGACAACACTTTGCAACTATGCCTAAAGGGATATAAAACTCTACATACCCTTTGACCCAGCAATACCACTATCAGCTCCATATTCCAGAGAGATCAAAGAACAAAGAAAAGTGCCTAGACATATAAAAATATTCATAGCAGCTCTTCTTTTGGTGGCAAAGAAGTGGAAATCGAGATGCTCATCAATTGGGGGTTGGCTGGAAAAGCTGTGGCATATGTTTGTGATGGAATACTTTTAGGCTATAATAAATCCTGAGGGGAATGATTTCAGAAAAGCATGCGAAGAACTATGTATACCTGATGCAAAGTTAAATGAGAAGAACCAAGAGATCATTGTGCACAGTAAGAGCAATGCTGTAATGATGATCATTTGTGAAACTGACTACTCTGATCAGTACAATGATCCAAGGCAATTCCAAAGGATTCATGATGAAAAGAATGCTATCCACCTCCAGAGAGAGCGCCAGTGATCTCCAAATATAGTTCTTCTGTGTATTCTCACCATCTGTTATTAATTTCTTCTGCCTCCCTACCAGTTTTGTCTTTTATTCCTCCCATTTTTTTCTTTTAAAAAATTTTATTTTATTAATTTCTTTTGATTTATCAACAATCACTTCCATATGCTTTTGAGTTTAAATTTTCCCCCCCTTCCTCCCCACGTCTCTCCCCAAGATGTTGCACAATCTGGTATAGGCTATACATTTTCATTCATATTAAACATATTTTCATATTAGTGATGTTGTAAATAAAAATTAAAATCAATAGGAGGAACCACCAGAAAGAGGAAACAAAACTCAGCATAAGAGAAAAAAAGATAGCAACTCAACTTCCATAGTTCTTTCTTTGGATGTGGATAGCATTTTCCATCACTAGGCTTCTGGAGATGTCTTAGATCATTGTATTGCTAACGGTTGTTTATCAATATCAATCATCGCACAACATGGCTGTTATTTTACAC